GGGAAGACCCCTCCCGGGAAGCTCGCGGGACCGCAGGTCTTCCGGCCTCTGGCTGTTATTTTTAGTTGCCGACTTTCCGGCGCTGGGTTGGAACGGTTTCGAGGCGACTGCGCTCTCATCCCTAACGGAGAGAAACCTCTGGTTCTGTGCCTTGTCTTTTCGAGCCCTGCCTTTGCCCGAAGGACTGTCTCCTCGGACGGGGTCTGAACCTTTGTAATTAGTCGGTAACGTTACGATTAAGAGTGTACAGAGTTATTTATTTTGTGTACTCGGTCTGCTAAACACGTAAACGTATTCTGTGTAGCCCATCGCTCTGCTGTCGTTACTTCTGGCTCGGGGATCTGTGCCGATGGTCTCTAAAACCAGGAGCTGCTCGCCCCTCTGGTGGCTTCTTGGAGCACAAGAAGAAGGTACCGAAGGGCCCGTAAAAAGGTTTTTTTGTTTCTTTAACGCAGCTGCCAGGCCCCAGGGAGACCTCGCGCAGGGCTGGGATGCCTGCAGGGATGCTCTGGGTGAGTCGGCCTCACGCCGAAGGGCAGCGTTCAGAAGCCGAACGGGCGCTTGGGGACGTTTTGTTCCCCGTTCTTCACCTCCAGGGTGGCAAACAGGGCTGGAGGAATCCCCCCGGGTTGCCCCTAGCGACTCGTTTTTGCTCTGAGTGGCTTTTGTAGGTGGACAGGAAAGCGTGTGACACCAAGTGAAAAGTGCAACCGCCTTTGGAAGCATGTCCTCCTGTAAGGGAGGTGATTTTTGATGAAAACATTTTTTGGGGGGGGCTGCGATTCACGCAGAAAAGGTTTTTGTGTCACATTCCCCTCACAGATAAGGCAAGAACACCCCACGGCTCCTGCGGGGAGAGCCTGATCCTGCTCCTCTCCGCAGCCTGCTCACGCCCAGCTGCCAGGAGCCAGGTTTTAAGTCACTGACCGTGTGTGAACACAACACTGGCATTTTTTCAGGTTTTGCTTTAGCGTGGCCTCGAGTTTCCTGCTGTTACCTGGCAAACGAGTTTCCTGCTGTTCCCTGGCAAACCCGCCCACGTAAAGCAGCGGCTGTTCTCCGGCTGCCCCCTTCCACCTTCCCATAGAGCTGCTGTCGGCGTTTCTCCTTTCCCGCTCCGCGTTCCCGGGCTGTTACACGAGTTCCAGCTTTAAATTGCGGGATCTTTGAAGATCCCGTGTGCCTGCCAGTGCCCGCCCTTCCATCCCGAGCCGAGGAGCAC